CATCTCTCATTGATGGACTGAGCAATGTTCCATGAGGATAATGATTTATAATCTAACCCTGCTTTAAACTTCTTAACCCTGGTTTCCCTACTGTTTTGTGAAGAGTTTTGCTAACAATATTTACTCTATTTATTCTAAGCATGCATCACACAAAACTAGACTCTTTAGTGTTTCAAAGACTCCTGAAGGCAATAGATTCAGGGGTATCATAGTATCTGGTAAATGAATGCAAATTAATATTTTTCAGTTTTCAGTTGTTCAGTTTGTTGTGTTAATGGGACGGTATTATGTATTTTTCCATACACAGTGCCATTTCATAGCACAATCAAGTAACTGTTACCTTCAGTTGTTATAAAAATTCTGCATATATCAATTAATGAAATTTGACTTTACAATTTGATTCCTTGAAATTGGACTTCTGTCTCTTTAAGAAGGTCAAACAATGCTCCTCCATCACACCGTTTATGATTCTTAGGAATGTTGGACTCTGAAGTAGGTTGCATGATAACCTCAGCAGACATGCATTTCCATCAGGTGTTTGCTAACTGCTGCTGCCACTAGCCTGGAAGAACTGCTTGGTGGCTGTGCTTGATTCTCATCTTCTGTCAGTGCTCTGTCTGGGATTTCTCCTATTGAGCTAGATTTTTCTGGATAAATTTCAACTGGGCCTATCAGCAAGCAGGACACATTGTGAATGATTGATTGTCTGCAATGTTTTAGAATTGTAGACTGCCTAGGACTGTGCTTTGGCAATGATGGTGGAGGAAATGAGTGCAGCCATTCAATCTGTGTTGGTCCCACTTTCAAATATTGAGCAGTAAAAGTCTGAGTAAGAGGAATGTATGCCATTTCATACCTCTACTCCCCAATAGGTTGTTTACAGTGCACACAATTTCTGGTAAGTTTTATCAACCTGCGACATTACATGCGTCACAGCCAGCCATTAGTAATTAAGAGTCTGCCTCCAATAAACAGTATTGTTTCTTAATAGCCAAGTGTGCAGACCCTCTGTATGAAGCAAAGTGTAAAAAAATGGGTTATTTTTGACCAAGCTAATTTGTAATGAACCCTTTGATTTCAGTTTCAAAGTCTTTCCAAATGCATGAATTGCCTTGAATGAAGCCGGCATGAAAAGCATTATTT